CTCCCCACTTACCCTAGGGGGCTGGAGCAGCCCCACAGGGCCCAAAAAGCCCCTATCTGTGGCAGACTGGTCCGGTCCAGCCCAGCCCTCTTACTGCAGGTACCACGCTATGGCTCCCCAAGAGCCTGCTGCGGAACACACAGCAAAGTCTCCCCTTGGAGCGGAGCCAGCAGCCCTTGCCTTAACCTGTCTGGGATGAGCTATTCAGGTTCACTGACCCATCAAAGAACATTCTATAAAAAACAAAGCTCGGGAGGCACCTGAATTCACTGAATGAACTCTCCTGCAAACCAACAGTCTGGAATATGGGCTATACTACAGCATCTGCCTAAAAGTGACTCAGCCATGCACGGACAGGTATCACTCATGAAACGAAAGCCACATTGGGACGTACTTTCACACAGCAAGAGCAATGGGAGTCCCTCCACACGAGCGAGGTTACAGAAAGAGCTTTGGGGGTTCCTCCTTTTATCTTCGATCTGGCTAATTACCTGTGAGATCTCTGTCAACTGAAGCCTGAAAGGACTGTTAACCCATCCTAACAGAGGATATATTCCAGAGACTTGTTTTAAGACAGCAGTTTATTCCATCTCTGCTAGAAGCCTACACCAAGAACTATGTAATTGGTTCACAGGGGTAGTCGAGTTAGTCTAACAAGAAAAACTTAAAGAACAACAACATAGTCTAGTAGCACTCTAAAGAGACAAAACATGTAGATGGTATCATGAGCTTTCGTGGGTACAACCCACTTCTTCAGATGACCAGACTGTTGGAAGTCCAAATCCAAGGATAAATAAGAGGGGGGTGGGGGGAGAAGAGAGAAGGGGAGGAATTAAAAAAAAGACAGTGAGTAGGTAAGCTTCAGAGGGACAGCGGAGTGCCTTTGTAACAGGAAAAACTTAAACAACAAACAATCTAGTAGCCTCTTAAAGACGGAGTAGTTATAAGAGGCTCATAAGAACTATTAGTTTGCACTTGGAAAGGAAGATGACCAACACCAGATTCTAAACAGACATCAAGAATCACTGGCACCTTCATTGTTTGCTTGGTTGGTAGATAACCTGCAAGTCGATATCCCAATTCAAGCCATAGGCATGAGCCCTGCTTGCCAGCCGCACTGTCTGGCGTTCTGCACATGCGCAGATCGCCCGAACTCGGCTCTTCCGGGATGTAATCCACTCACCACGGGCGAGTAGATTACATAGATTGTCGAGCCCTGAGCATGAGAATTAAACTTGTGAATGAAGTGTATGTATTTGATTCCTTTAACAATTTTAACTGTTGACCTTTCTTTTCTTAATTAGCCTTTAGATTCTAAAGCAGGGCTGGGGAAACAGGCCCAGGGGCCAGATGTGGCCCTCGGCTTGCCTGGATCCAGTCCGGCCCCCCTAGGCTCTGGTGTGCAAGGAAAATCTGGGGAATGCCTTTCTTCTTCTCGGGAGCCACAGTGAGGGGTTTTTTCCCCTTCTTACTTGTGTGTGGCCCCCGACTGATTTTTCTGTGGGTCAGTGGCTCCTGACCTATAAAAGGTTCCCCAACCTTGTTCTAAAGGATTGGCACATCGTGCTCTTCTGAGTAACAGCTGAGTTATACATTGACCTGGGGATGTAGCTGGTCCTTTGGGAATCAGAAGAACCTGTTCAGATTTGGTGAGACTGGTTTGCATAACCTGTCATCTGTGTAAGGCAGGGGTGGGCAATAATTTTGGATGAGGGTGAGGACGACTCCAAGATTTTGGTATGAGGTCAAGGGCTGCACTTGCCTATGGGGGATAGGGACTTGGATAGAGGATGAGTACAGAAAGAAGCTGGGGGCAGGGTGTAGGGTAGAAGTGGAGTCTGAGAGGGAGTGTGTGTGAAGGAGAGGATTGTGATCTGGGACAGATATTTGGGGTGCAGGATCCAGTAGGGGGAATATGTGTAGGAGAGGATTCTGGCCCGGGATGGGGGGGGAGGGCAGGAGAAGGGGTTGCAGGGTCTGGGAGGGAGTTGTGACTTGGGGAAGAAGGAAAAGGGGTGCAGAGGGTTTGGATGGTGAACTGGGGCAAGGAGTTGGAGGGAGGGAGGGGCTGGGGAGCCAGAGGCAGGTTATGGTTGAGAGACACTTACCTAGGAGGCCCCTGGCCAGCAGCCCTGCAAGACCCCAAGGCAGGCTCCCTGCCAGCAACAGCCCCAGGATGCTCAAAATGGCTGGCTGCTCCCTATGGCTCCCTGCTCCAGGTGCTAGGGGGATTGGGAGGGTTCATGCAATACCCTTGCCCCAGCAAAATCTCTTAGCTCCCACTGGTCAGTTTTGGTGAAGCCTCTCCCTAGAGCAGAGAGCTACTGGGAGCAGCCAGCTGCTTAAAGTGTTTCAGGGCAGCCCCATACCAGCTGGCTGTTCTGTGCCTGAGGATCCCAGTGAAATGGCCTGTGGACCAGATCATGCCCACCTTAGGTGTAAGTAGTGGCACAAGAGAACTGGAGTGTCCAAAAGGATTGCTTGTATGACTTCTTGCTAGCCAGTGTGGTGAACAGATGTACTCTTTTGTATGCCTCTTGGGCTGTGTGTAGCCCTGTCTCTAAGCAGTTCACCCTAAATTGACCCTCTCAAAGGTGTTCCCAGAAACCCACCAATATTACAACTGATATGAGTGGATACATTTATACCAGTACAGATTATTGCCATGAGACAGGAAACTGAGTGACTCCAACAAACATCTTTTGTCCTGATATAACTCCGTCCGCACTATCACTTACACTAATTTAACTATTTTCATACAAAAATCATACCCTTAACTGAAATAGTTAAAACCGATACAAAACTGTGTAGACCAGGGCCCAGATGCTCCCATGATCATTACAAAATACTACTACATATTCCGTAAAGAGAGAAGGCATAATGTTCAAGCCAGGGGTGGGGAACCAAGGCCCAGGGTCTGGATGCGACCCCCGCCTTGCCTGGATCTGGACCCCAAGGCTCAGGGTCCCCTCCCCGGCACTGAGGAGCCCATGCTAGTGCTCCAGCCCCTGGGGGTGGCTGAGAGGCTGGAGCAGGCTCCTCAATGCTGGGGAGAGAGCCCCACAGTCAATCCCTCCTGGGCTGGAGCATACAAAATCTACAAGCCACCGGCCAACTAGGCTCTGGTGTGTGAGGGGAACATGGGGAGCACTTTTCTTCTTCCCAGTGGGGGCTACATCAGTGAGAATTTGGTTTTTTTCCCTTTTTTTCTTTTTTTTTTTTTGACTTCACACTTACATGTGGCACCCAACTGATTTTTCTGTGGGTCAGTGGCCCCAACCCAAAAACAGTTCCCCAGCCTGAGTGTAAACACTCCACACAGCTCACAGCTGGTGAGGGGAAGAACATGAGGGGGAAGCAGGCGAGTCTCCAGTGCAGGGTGATGACAGTCACGTTGGAGATGTCAAGGGATAACCAGTTAATCCCGTCCTGGACAAAGCTCACCAATAACCAGCTACCCGAAAGGCCGGTGAACTGGCTTGTAAACGACAGTTAGCATCCCTATGCCCCCAAAGCAGCGGGGGGAGGGGGGAGAGGAAGTATTAGGTGAGGGGAGGTGCCTGAGAGACAGGAGGGGCAACTACAGCCCACGCCGGGGACAGGCACAGGACGGGGCGAGGCGAGAGGTCCGCGAGCTCTCGGCGTGCAGAGGAAAGCCCTGCCGCGCACTCCCGGGGAAGGAAGGCACCGCGGGGGGGAGGGGGGAGGGTGAAGCGCCGGCAGCCCCGCAG